GGGAGAGAAGGTGGGGAGAGGGTTGTCTCTCAAAACCTCCTCTCTACTTTGCCACTTACGGGAGGAAAACAGCAGAAGTGAGGACAGTCAGGAAAGGCCGAGGATGGATATTGCGATGCAATGGTAAAAATGGAACAAACTTACGAATCAACTTAACGGCCTGCTCCCAGTTGGCTTGTTAGCTCAATTGGTAGAGCGCTGCACTAGTATCGCAGAGGTCAGTGGTTCGAATCCCGTACAGGCCTGATTTTTTTCAGGTCTGATTTTCGCTATTGCTTAAATAGCGCTATCTACTGCGAGGATCGTACATCATATGTATTAATGTCCCAAGTTAAACAAACCAGGGAACAAAATAAGTCCTTACCCGTCACTAGCAAATATGTGGCTAAAGTGAACTGCAATGTTTATTAACGAAGACAAGCAAAGTCGCAGCATAGCACCGTCCTCGCAGTGGAGCAAAATGGCGCCATTGATGACGTTCATAAAGAGATTCAGGTCCGTAGAGCTCCACGGGAAATCCGTGTACATGGACTGGAAGAGTGATGTAATCAGCTGAAAAAAAGGAGCAATGCCTTGGTTAAGTTTTCAAATACAAAAGACTGCCAGTAATGGTGTGGGCTCGAAAGTCTTCTTTGATCCGAAAAACTTTTCAATGGCTTTTAAAGACTACAATGTAAATAATAGAACTCTTACAATTCAGAACACATGTGAATTGTTACACTGTGCGTCAATGAGTATCCCAAGAACTATTCCTATCACCTCATATCAATGAACTCACTATATGCCTTACCTCGACCCAAACACTTTTGTGAATGACATCAAGAGCAGCAAGTTCCTGAAAGGAAAATAAGAAAACATTTGCTGTTATTGTCTCAGCAGAAAGTGCCATCGACAAAAACATTAATGCTACTTGGAAATTTCTATGCTATGCTGTTTCCGTAAATTTCCAACTCAATTGCAATCTTTTTAACGTTTCCTGAGCCAAAAAAAGGGCTTGGCACCGTTGTGGTCCTCTCTAAACAATTTATGTGGCCAAAACGGTTAAGGTTACGAGATAATTTTTCATACCAAGTTTTACCGACTCGATTAGTAAGTTGGTGAGGTCTCGAAATTCTCACAATGCGTCCTACCACCCAGACGAGTACAATGTTAATTAATTAATAATTAATTTTTTTAATTTTTTTTAAATTAATAATTAATTAATAATTAATTAATTAATTAATTAATTAATTAATACCAGGAACCGTCTTGGAATCCTAACGAAGAGTTCGCGGTAAGGGATAAGTTTGCATGGACCAGCATCCCATAGGGGAGGGGAGTATACACCCGGTCGCTTAATGTAACAAAAACCGTGATAAGTCCTAGACGTAAGGGCCACTTGGCTCGTTGCACCTACGGTTGTACTCCTAACAAAAGTTATTGTCTTCAAAGTCCATTAGAGTAGACTTACAAATAGATTAGACTTTAAAATAACATATGTTCTTACTGATCCCTTAGTGCCACCAGCATAAAGCGAAAAATCACACTCAAGAGCTTTCCGAGGAAACGAGATCTGACGACTGAACTCTCCGTGAAGAAAAGAGATGTGTTTCTGTTGAAAAAAGAAAAGCAAAAACGAAGAGCCAGTGTTTTAACACTGCATCTAAAAACACATCCCCTCCTACTTAATCACCTGGTATTGGTTTGATATTCCCTCCCTCTTTTTAAATTAAAAGCAAAAATACAACGTATCCCCTTTCAGCGCAATTGTTATGTTGTGAGGAAGTAAGAATTATGTTTTAAGAATGTGTACCATTATTATCCAAACTGCACTTAGTAGAGTAAAAATAAGGCGTGAGTCGAGTACAAATATCCTGCGGTATCGTTCATTTGGTTATTCTGTACTGTGAAAAAACCTGTTTAACCGGTCGACTGTGCGCGCTACGCTTCTTCATATGCCTCGCTTTTCCCACTTGAAATAAAGCAGTAGGGTAATAAGTAACTTATAAAACGTGTTGGTATGCAGTATCGTTCAGTACTTTTACGAGTTGCGTCGTTGTTTGAGTCGCCTGCGGAACTCGTAAAAATACTCTGCAATACTTTACACAAAAACATCTAATAAGATATATTTAATGTAAATGAGAGTGGCTGGAAAAAGAACGGAGGGGATGAGTAGGGAAAACTGGGAACGAGTGTTCGATGTTTCAGTGGTTCATTCTTATAAAAATATCTGTTCCGCAAGGTTTCCAAATTTTTTTTTTTTTTTTTATTTTATCAAAAGCTTTTTTTTTTTTTTTTTTATTTTATCAAAAGCTGTAATTACAAAGTCGTTACCTGATTGGGTAAAGCGTTAAGAATAGATGACGTCAGGAGGACTCGTCCAATCTCGGCGATCTTGTTTGTAAACGCCTACGACAAAGAAGAAACAGGAGTCTAGGTAGAATGCAAGTATACAGTGAAAAAGACGAATGGTGACAGGGAAGAAATTAGATTGCATCAAAGAAATATTCTGAGACAGATGTCTAAAAAGGCAGTAGTTACTGGGAAGATTTAACTCTTATACTTTGTGATTTTGTGGTCGGATTCTTTACCGAATGAACTGCCAAGAGCTCACCACCAAACGTGGCCATGATCTAGTTTCAAATCTGTGGGGAGCGGATAATTTAACGGATATAAAACATTCTAAAAGTTAAGCCAGATTTAAAAGAAATAGAATGAAGGTTAACATTTACCAGGATGTGGCTTCGGTTATTGGAATTACATTTTAACAAGAACTTTCTTTTCAATTGATTAGAAATCAATGAATTGTGTCACATATACTAGCTTCGTTTCAGTTGTTAACTTAAGAGTATTTTCCCTCTCAAGCTAACTGGTGTACCTGTTGTTGTCACTTATCGACTGACTATCGCGACGCTTATTTCAAGCAAGTGAATAAATGATTGTAATTTCGTTCCTATACCTGTGCTTGTCTCTTATTGAACGCCAATTCTTGATCTAAAAAGTCCAACAACAACAAGGGGCTTGGAAATCCTTTGCGGTGAGTGTACACATCTCGCACGTGGTCTCTCTCCTCGAGTATCTGGTCTGAAAGAAAAAAACATTAACCGTTATGCATATAATTAAACTGGCACCAAACCTGACCTCGACAGAAACATGCTCTCCGTTTCAGAATAAGAAACAAAACTTTCTTCCGTAACTTATCGACGCTGAGTTTTCGTCGTAGGAGTGGCGTGGACGAATTTCTCGGAGCGATGAATTGAAAACACGTCCGTCAAAACAGCCTTAAAAGGGAAGGGCAAAAGGCAATTTTCAGTCACATTTTTCCGTAAGCCAAACTTAACATTTTAGTCACACCGAATCATACAAGGACTCTTAAAATCGTACCGCCCTGCTACAGACAACGTAAATGCCTGTCGAAAAATCTTCACCCACTTAAAAGAACAACAGATCTCTCAAAGACTTTCTTTTTAAATCAACACTGAAAAAATTCCTTTGTTATTCGAACAAACGCACTGGGAGTTACACAAGGCAAGGATAGTAACCATATTATGAGATTACACTTTACTACGAGTTCCATCGCGCAAAATGCCATCGGCGGTACTTCTTACCTGATTTCTTGTCAATGAGATACAACTCTTTGCCTTCACTGCCGGAGTCTTGATACCGTGCTTTAAACGCTTCTAGGACCTTACCAAATGTCATTTCCTGGAAATAAATGTTTCGTACCTTGTGATTGTTTAGCTCAGTTGGTTAGAGCCCCGGATTGTAGAGTGCGGGAGGTCGAGGGTTCGAGCCCCAGCCGGACCAATACTGATGGTCGTAAAATAAGTGAGGAGAATTTGCTACCTTTCTATAATCAAGATATGGACAGATTGGATAGACATTCTGGTCTTCTCGGATAAGGACGAATAAACCGTAGGCCCCGTCTCCTGCAGGGTTAGGGGTAGGAGACGTTCATTTCCCACGCACAAGAATATTGTGTGGTGGATGTCCTCCCCTGGGTGGAATGGGTGGGTGTTGGCCCTGAAAGGCCCCTATGGGGAGTAGTCAATTAACCTACGTCTGTATACATGTATGTATGTAGTTATCTTGAGAAGGAGAGGTATGCTCAAGAGAGCATACTTTTCATTCCCACCAAAGAGAGAAAGGAGAAATAACAAAAAAAAAAAAAGATAATCATCGCGTGTTGAAAGAAAGCCAACCGCTAAAATGATTGTCTCAAAATGAGCTTAGAACTTGTTGGAAAGAGTAGCCCATTCGAATTTTTCTTGTCGAGGCTGATCGCATTTCCCTTCTTTCCCTTTTTGGGCTTCTCTGTGACTCAAATTATCAGTTGAGGTGATCAACAGAGCATCAGCGGCTTATGAGCCGCGCGTTGTTGAATTGAATGCGCAGCCTGGCGAATGAGTTGTTTTCAAAATGGCGACGTCTGTCAACAAATTTTAAGTATTCTTGGTCACAACTTTCCAACGGGTACCTAACTCTTTGGAATCGCAAAATGTGGTAATATTTCATGTATGTATGGTTCACATCTCTGGAGCACACAACTTCTTCCTTGAAGTCTTTCCCCGTGTGTATGATATGGGAGAGGGATTGCTGTCAGGTAATTCGTTAACAGAAATGGCTGATTTCAAATACAAATCCGGTTTTCAATCAATACCTTTTCCACATTACACATAAAAATGAATTCATTGAAATTTTACGGTCTAAAAGTCATTACACAACTTACATCATGAACAGGAACTGTTTCTTTGGTTTTCTCTTGGTCTTTCTCCTCTTCTTCGTTTTCTTGATCAGGAAGAATCACGCAAAGTTTCTGGAATAAACGTAAATTAAAAGGTAAATTAAATAGTACTAATATTTACAGTTATAATGATGATGATAATAAAACGAAAAACGAGCAAAGAAAAGGACACTTACCATGGCAATCGAATCACAAAGGTGTACAGACTATGTCCCATACGGTGACGACGTTTAAATGGTGCAAAAGTGAATTTATCACACACTATTAAAAGAAAAGCTAGTAGATGCTCCCCTCTCTTGAGAGCAAATGGATCCGTGTTTACGATACCGCAATCCCTGCAATTTATAATCTTGTAATGTAGAGATGACTTTTATTCTGCCATCGTTTACATGAATGCCAAAAAAAAAAAAAAAAAAAAAAAAACAGAGATAAACAATATAATGTCATACCTTAGCGCCAGGAACGTTAGAGCTGATACGAAGAGCGTTCTGTTAGAATAAAATAATCAAAGGAAACTGTGAATAAGTCGTGGATACATTGCGCTTGAATGACATTTGAAGATAATTAAATTGCAATGGGTGACTGCCGGATACAGTTGAAACTTCTTGGTATTACTTTGAACTGCTGGGGTGATGTTGGGTGAATGGTAAGAGTTCACATTTTAGTTATCAGTCAGTACAAAATACAGACTGATTACAAATTCAACAGTATGATAGGGCTTGGGGACATCCAAGGAACCACCAGGCTCATTAGGGATACTTTCTTCAGGATATTTTATGAAAAAATTAACTTAACTAGAGAGCAGATCTAAGGTAGCAGCAATCATCCATCTCAGAGGGATTCTTAGTTTTCATTACCTAAAAAAGCGCTAGGTTCAAGTCATAGTGATATTCAAGTCATAGTGATATTTAGGCACGTACGTATTTTGAACGAGCTCTATGAGCTCCTTGACGCTACGTGGGTAAATAAAGTATTGATTGATTGATTGATTGACTGTCACCTCTTTTTTCTACGAACGCGTATTGCATACCTATAAGTCGCTTTTATCTTCTAATCCGTTTCAGTTCTATTTACAAGCAGAACCTGCATTTTTTGGCTGCATTTTGAAATAAAGCGTTAGCCCATATCTACTTTGGACATCATTTAAATGAGAAGCAGAATGAAAGAGCCAACCCTACCTCGTCGTAGTAAAAAGCAATTCGAGAAATGAATGGTTTCTTTAATCTAATACAACTCTCCAAATAAAGCCATGTTGGACTGAAAAAGAATTACTACTCAACTCACATCGCAATGTTCTTTCCGTAGACACTGCTTGAGATCTTTGAACATAAATCCGCGCATGCTTGGTACTGCCTGTGGATTGAAATGGAAAGGACCTCAAACCTGGCAATATCGATATCTCAGAACTAACTTATGAATGACGATAAATCTCTTTTTGTTGTTAAGGTTTAGAGCTCAGCTATGTATTGGGGAAACATCCCCTAATAGTAATTGATCACTTTTTAACGTGTAATTCCCACAAAAGTTCTCTGTTAGATCATTGTGACGTATTCAGTGGGAAAACACGTAATTCCCACAGTGCACCTCACCACCCGGCAGGATAAATGGGAACTGGTGAACTATGAAAGAATCCTGACGGTGACGGGGGGGGTGGGGTGGGGGGGAACTTGACTTGGACTTTCGTCCCAATCAGGAGTACACATACCCTTACTTGCTTAACGCTGCAGAATGCGGGTATAAGCCCCAGCAGGGGTGGGTGAACTGCGTGTTTATCAGCTCAAAAGAGTGTCACACGAATACTTACTAACAAAGTAATGCTGGGAATCAATCTGTGACTAAAAATGCAGAAACATTGTCGAAGAATGTAGACATTTTGGATCTCAAATCATAGTTAGCATCCTAATTCACACGTCCTTTTCACAAGGGCAGAAATAATAAAGAAAATTATATGATTTCTAAAGCAAATTTCTTCAACTTTTCCACGCAATAATGGTATGCCCTCCTACCTGCCACAACAGGGACAACACCAAGGCGAGCGAGTCCTGGGAACCAGGCTTGCTAGTTCTTGCATAATACATAGCAACACCGATCTGTTAAGAGACAGATGAATAAAGGGGGTAAGCTTCTAAAGAAACTGTGGCGCTGCGTCGGTGGGGGTAACAAGGTAATTTGGTAATATCAACTATGTTGAAATTGTAAATTGGTCACCGTAAAGAGTTAAAAAGCTGTTCGCTCTGACGACGGGCTAACGCTCGAGACGTCAGCTTTTTTTTTTAACTCTTTACGATGGCCAATTTACAATTTCAACTTAGTTGATATTACCAAATTACCCTGTTAAGAGACAGACTGTATATTACAAAAAGGTAAAGACAATTAGTCCAGACTTGCACAAGGATACAGATAAAGGAGTAATCAAAAGGGGATACTGTTCTATATGAGCTATACAGGTTTTTAGCAATCCAAAGGATATGGTTCTTCATTTGTTTTGGTTTGTGTTGACCACCATCGTTTCATCAGGTTTTCAAGATGACGACGGGCACGTAAGGAGCTCTTTGTTTGTTTGTTTGTTTGTTTGTTTTTTTTTTTTAACTCCAACCGAGAAGAGATAACGAGTGCAGCTAATACGTATCACGAGAGCTGAACTTTACCAAATCTTGACTTCAACTCAGATCCGAAGCTTAACTCCGCGGAAAAAAAGCGTAATGCATTTGCAAACCAAGCCTTCAAGAAGCCCAAAAGCATTCAAACTCAATACCACCATGGTCCATTACTAACCAGATTGTTTATAAGAAATCTAGACGATGCTTGTGGCAGTTCTGTGATGTAAAGAAGCAGCTTCCTCAGAAGAGAGATGTGTTCCTCCTATTAAAAAAAACAAAACCCTATATCAACTCAGGGAAAGTAATAACTTGTCCCATTAAATTGTGTGGCAGAGTAATGAGAGGTAAAGGATTCGAGTCCTGCTCTGTTCATCTGTTGGAATTATATCTTGATAGTTTTCAATACAACAAGCTTTGTTCGATCTAAATTATTTGTTTGAGGTCGATCGTTGAGGGCCACCGGTTTATCAGGATTCCCACTCGCAGAGGTCAAGGGTTCAACTCCCGTTAAGGCCCGAATTTTTTTTTTTCACTATCGCTTAAATACTGCGTTACTGCGACGATCACCCTTGTGTTCACATATTGTAACTGTACAAAAAGCAAAATGCGTCAAAAATTAAACTCAAATGAAACGGCAAGACACGGCAAGATATAAAAAAAAAAGTAGTCCAACGAACCTGTTTGTCCCTCTTGGTCACTTGTTCTAAAATAATTCTAAAGAAAAGAACTGGATCATCCACTAAGCACCTCCAAACAAGACGTCGGGCGACTTCCATCACTGCGGATGAAACACAGGAGTTGAAACTGTTAACACCCCAAGCCCCACAAAAGTTCTTCACAGCTCGAACCCTGGGCGGATCCTTGCGTTGTGTCCTTGGCCAAGATGTTTCATTCCCACAGTTATTCTGAAATCTAAGATAATGCTGAGTCGAACTTGAACCTATTAGTCGGAGTCCAGTGCATCGACTACTTTGCTACCGCGTGTACCAAACCGTTGTAAAATGAACTAATTAAAACACCATCTTTATCACAGCCCTCTGCAAAACACCGACCCACTAACCAGCTATTTTGTCACTATCCACTAGAACGTCATCCATCATTTTGATGATGTCAGGAATGGCTGATGACACAGCTTGAGGCCATAACTCCGCTTCTACTTGCTGACTTTCACCTTTAATAATAGAAAACAAAGTGAGAAAAAACTATATTAACGTTTCACCCCGCAACAAAAGGATATCGGTTAAAAATTCTACTTTCTGTTTTCCTAAAACTTTCTGTTTTCCTAAATACTAAGCACGCGTGCTGTTCTGTTTTGTTGTTGCTTCGGTTTCGATTCCTTTATCTGGGACGGTTCATGTTCCTGCTGTGAGTTTGTCTAAAGGAGAAGATAAACTGCGTGTCCACTCAGCATTGTAGCTGAAATCCGCTTGAATTCACCGAGCAAGTTAGTCTGGGATCGTTACTCAGGACACAAATCTGTAGCAAACAAAGATTTGTGTCCCGAGTAACGATCCCAGACAAACTTGCGCGGCGAACTCGACCCACTCCCCCACTCGTTTTTGAAATGTGGATATCCGCTTGTAAACACCAAACCAAGGCGCGCTTGTCAACCAGTAGCACCGGTATCATGACGGTCTTTGCCTGTGACTGTCAGATTGAAGTCCCCATATTTTTAGAGGTTAAAACACAGCTCCTGGTTCAGGCACTCTCGCAGCCAATTTTTTCTCTGTTTGCTGTGCCACTTTCCAACCAGGTGAGCAAAGACAGGAAGACAAACGCTGAGACAAAATAGAAAATCTTTGGGAAGTAACCTCTGATACGCCATCCGGATTTTGTCTATTCTATGAAAACACCATTGTTGTTGTTCATCCGTTCGAAAATATCTGAACTTCAACACCTACACTGATGTTTAGGGCATTTTTCTATGACAAGCTTGCATTTTACTTCTGTTAAAAAAAAAACAACAACAACAACAACAACAAAAAACAAAACAAAACAGAAGAGAGTATCGAAGAGTGATGATATAAATGTTCTATAAACTCAAACCTTCTTCTCCCGTCATATCTTGTGAGTTTTCTGTCCCATCTAAATGGTAATGCCAAAAGTCCATGCGAGAATCTCTCTCTATTGAAATCCACAGTAGGAAGAAAAACAAAGAAGTACATGGCGGTTGTGTAAATTTTATTCCATGATTGGGACTGTGCTGTGCCAGTGATTTTACTGTGCTTAGGCAAGTGCTGGTGCTAGTACGACTGCCAATGATTGTGCCTACATTGGAGCTCGTGATATTGCTGCCATGGGGATCGTTACTCAGTGCAGGTACCGTCATCATTACCAATGTTGGGGCCAGTGTTGGTGCTCGCGATGGTACCAATTTAAGGGAATTACGCCAGTGTCAGTGCCAGTGCCACTACAATTGCTATGATTGTGCTAAAATTGAGGTTCCTGGTGCCATAATGATTATAAGAAGCTAGTTCTGGTGCAACCTTAATTGCCAAAGCTAGTGCTTGTACAGGAGCTTGAAATGCAGCTATTATACTTAACATAAGCCAGTGCTGGTACCCTCTGAGTTGCTACTGTTTGCGCCACTATTGGTGCTCCTGATCGTGCCATGGGAATAACGTTCGGCCCGAGCTGACGCCAGCCCAATAGTAGACGCGGCAGCTAATATTTATGCTCTTGGCGGCAATGCATGTCGCAGCTTTACAGTTTGCTACGTTTACACATTTGCTGTAATGCGCGTGTTGCCGTTTACTGCATGGTTAAGTTTAATGTGCAGAACAGATTGTAATTCTACGTGCCAGTGATTGTGCCGTGCTCAAAGTAGTCAGAGTGCCATTACTGTTACCCAACTTATTGTCCGAAAACAATAAAATGAACAGATTCTACTTTGTATCTACTATCCTCTAGTCGATAAAATTCATTGAACAGCTTAAGGATTAAAGTGCATCGTTTTAGAGATTAATCACGATGTATAAGGTGTCAGTTAGTTTTTCTCCCTTTTTAGGTTTTCAACGTGTGTGCGTATTTTAACTGCGAGAAGTGATGATGCACATATCTAAGAACAACATTTTAAGACTCATTCCGTTCTACTGGTGTTGGTGTACATTTAAGGCGAATCTAGAGCCTTATTCGGTTCTGATGTTAGGACATATCAAAAATAATTTTCAAACGAGAGCCTTTGATCAGATCAAAAAAGAGGAAGGAAAAAGCTATTTATTACTCACTTTCCAATTCTCCTATGAGAAAACGAGCCTGTCTAACAGCTAAACAAGTGTGTTTACAACTATAGTGATTGCCATATATTTAAGTGCGACGAGTAATGCCCTGATAATTAACAAGTGCATGTTTCTATAGAAAGATGACTTTTCTCGAAGGAAGAGAAGCCCATGCTTCCTTCAAATTAATACTATCTAACAGTCTGACGATTCTGTCTACCTCAGACCACAATTAAAAGCAATCTCAACTTTTGGGTAACAAGGGCGTGTTGGATGTTGTAAGTGAAACGCACGTCTGGAGTGATGCGCTGCTTGGTATGTCACAAAAGGAAGGACAGGGAATCTGTTTTATATTGTGTTATCTGCGCAAAGATAACACCACTAACAATTCATTTTCAAACTTAATTTTACCATAAATGCAACAGAAGACATCTACAACCGTGACCACCAACATGAGACTCCCTCGAAACTTGCATAACATTGAAAGATCAAATCTTACAGCAATTTTCAACCAGTACGTACCAATTCTCTATGCAAAGGTTCCAAGATGAAGAAACAAACTGAGAAAATTCCTTCCAGTTCCCACCCAGTAGCTCATTAGGGAGCTTTAGCAACGAAAGCGGCAACGGTAACGAGAACGGCAGAAAACAATAGGCTTAATGAGCAAAAACAATCGCCCTGCACGTGCGTTTAACATTTTGGTACATTTCTTTGCCTTTCTCGGCCAAACAAAAACGTGAAATAACCAAATTTTAGGTTTTCTCGAGAACGTGAGCGCATGTCGGTTAATTTTTCTTTCTTTCTCCTTCCTTTAATGCCGTTCGTAGTGATATAGTCCCTGAATAGTTCGCCAGCATTTTCCAAGTGAAACAAATCGGAATAATCTCGAAACAGTTACAAAAACGAAAAGTTAGATTTGAACACGATGGAGTTTTCGTTGCCGTCGCCGTCGTCGTTGCTAAAGCTCCCTATTAATGGGGCATTTCCAAGTTCAAGAAACTTCCCACCTATGAAAATAAGATTTTTTTGCCTAATCTTCCCTCAAAAAGCTGATGAGTAACCCTAGGAGGAAACAGATCAACTGGTATCTCGGCAGTGGCTCTAAACTCATTCTCACCGACACAAAGAAATATACTGAGCTGAAATAAGCCGCCCAACACTGAGATAGCTCACCTTTTTCATCCTCGGAAACATTTACACCAACGGTCGTCTCCATCGACACTGGAACAGCTCGCAATAAGAATTCAGATCGCTCTTGTTGCTTCTTCAAAGCACTGCCATTGTCGCGGATCTTTTTCTTGTCTTTTTTCTTTTTATCCTGCTGCTCTTCCAGGATGAGGCTTGCATCCCACGGGCAATCAGGGGGTTGACTCGCAGGCATACCAACGGCGGGGGAGGGAAGAGTGAAATCAACTTTGGGTGGCGGAACCTTCAATTAAAAAGAATCAAGATGAGATTAATACACTCCTTTTTAAGAGTTGCCCCCCCCCCCCTCCTCCCCAACACGTTAACTACTCAAAAACTCTACACAGTGACTTCGCAACAAATACTAACGAAGTCCCTTGTAGTGTTCGTCTCCTCTAAAGAAAAAAAGGAATTCGTTCATACCTTTAGAATCACTCTTGCTCCTTCCTCAAGTCGAGGCCAAGCATGATACCTGGATTGCCACAAAACCTCATATCTACCAATGAAGGAGAAATAAACAAATAATCAAAATAATCAAATCAAAGTCAAAATACACCCTGCGCCAAAATACAGCGCCAACTCTCAACTCAGAGAGCCATTTTCCACTTATTTAACATTTGTAATAAGTATTTTTTCACACGTATTTGACAATTTTTGATATAGAAATTCAGGGAATCCTTCTACCACAAAGGGCCAGACCTCTAAAATCTTGAATTCACGAACAAGCTTTGGGTGCTATGCTCGACGAGTTTGCATGAAATTTCCAAAGTATCTGATAAGCCTCTTGACCGAGACTAAACGCTGCGTCAAACCAGCCAAGAAGTGTTTTTTCACACGTAATTGACAATTTTTATTGCAATAAGGAAGTTTGATAAGCTGTTACAGAGCAGACAAATTAAAGGGGTGGTTACACAATCAAATCTAGCACTCTCGAGAGATGTTTGACACCATCGCGGCACTCTTCGACGGTTTTATTACGCAATGTCAATTGGAAAAGTGAGATTAAACATTTAATTAAAGCAGAAAACAATGCTGCACAAAATGTTCTTTATTGCGTTTGGTTTGTTTATAACTTTTCTGGCGACAATGTAGGTTATTACTGCAGGTAGGTCGTGAATAGGCGCCTTTGAAAATAATAAAGCTTAGAGCCCAAAATGACCTCCAGCGGATGAGCCTTTCAGCTAGAAAGCTAGCCTTTCCTTGCCGTGTTTTGATCATCTGGCCATAAGTGAAGCAGTTCTCACCCACCTTTGAAGAGACTTGACTCTTTCATTGGCATCAGTACATGTCAGTTCTTTATGTAGCATCTGCTCCACCGTGTCTCGCAAACGAATGCCGGTCAAAAGAAAGACGGAAGCTATGTAAAATGATACACAATAAAGGATAATTTTAAAAATGTTAGGAGTTACGTTAGACTTTTAAGTCACAATCTGTGTTTGTTGGAAAATAAGAGTATATCCTAAATACATCGAGTTTGTCATTTGGAATTCATTGGTGCATCATCGATACTGCTATTATTTTTTCACCATATAAAGCTGAAAACCTGCGATCGTATGATCTTGATTACATTTTCATTTGACACATAGTTGTACTAGAAGATCACTAGTCGCTCTAACTGTCAAAAGGGGGTGGGAACAAAAGGTTATAACAAGCAAAGTCCCTAAAGCGCAGGAAAACGTTTAGTTTTGCGCCTGATTGGATTTAGAAAAATGAAATCAGTTTTCATCGACCATTTAATCACGGACCGAAGTAACGAAAAACCAATCCTGGATTGCTTTCGACGCTCAAATGAAAAGAGACAAAGAAGAGCATCATTTGATCTGTATTTAACACCTTACCAACAGAGGATACCAGCTGTTGATCTTCATCAAGCAGCAGTTCCCAGACTACAGGCAAGGTATCCATCAGATGGCCTTTGTCAATGACTGTACCAGCCTTAGCAATCACTGAGAATGGACAGTGAGTCAAACTTGCAAGCTGAAATAAAACAACACAATATTAATCAGCAAGGTTTAACTGAAGGAAAATCTGCCAAAAAGTGAAAAACTAAACTCAAAATAGGGTTCCAAGAATCACTGAACGGCTAGAATTTCCTTAGTACACTATTAAAATTCGAAGAGGAATAGTTTAGTGACCTCCATAAAGAAAAAAGGTTTAATTGTGTTTACAAAATCATCTGGGAACGTATCTTAACCTTGGTGTGAGCGAGGTAAAAGTACTAAAGGTATACAGCTGTTTTGAGTTAGGTGTGATTGCGTGTACTTTTAGGCTTTCTTCCGACAACCTTTTTCAAAACAGCTTTAATTTGTTAATGAAAAGTTACATGAAACTTGGTATGAGTTTCTTAGTCCTTTTCCAGGAACTCTAGCTCTCAAAATGCTCTCTAGGATTGTACTCTGTTCACTTACGCTTGATGATATGTATTGTATCATTTCTGTGTCCTCCTTGTCTTTCTTAGTTGCTTGTTCCACAGAACCCACTTGGGGTGCACTGATCAGCGGACTGCCATGAATGCCATGCACTCTGCCTGACTGCTTATCAGAAGCTTTGTCGTTCTTGTTCAAAGTGCCATAAACTGCCTTAAGGGATTTCACCATCCGTGTGCAGCTTCGGCTTTGTCGCTGGTGGCAGTTAACAGGACAAACTCCTAGGTGGTCACACAGGAATGCATTCGAGCTGTTCAGCTGGATCACGGCATTCAACCAAGGTAAATTCAGAGTTGGATCTTCATCGTCTGACTCGTCATCTTCATCAAACATCGTCACGTCCACACTAAGATGCTTAGCATCACACTTGGTGGATTTTGATCTGAACCTCACCGACTCACCCTCCCCTCCGAGCGCACCACGCTTAGTTGTCCGCTTCGCTGTCTTAGGTGAGTTCTGATTATTGACCCTGGGGTAGTACAAACTGTGGCGATTCCGCGTTCGGTCACTCTTTCCTTCTTGATCAGCGTCTGGGTTGTTAGCGTTCGCATCAGTCCCTGAGACGGTAATCATGGGTGGCTCTTGCAAGGTTCGACTTGGACTGGAAGGAAAATCAGTTTGTAAAGAAGATTGACTCCAAGCACTGGCTCGCCGAATCCGTTCTCCTCCTCCACCAATGACAGTACTCAAACGACGTTGATGCAGTTCGGGAGAAAATGCCATCGACCGTCTGTGGCTTGTAACACTCGGGCGTCTCCTTTGAACATTAAAACGATGCAAGGGTCTAGATGCAGGCTTGCTGACCGAGTACAGACCATGGCTTTCCCGTAAGAAGGCTGTGATTTCCAGCAGAAGCTGGCAGGCGATCATCAACAGGGGATATGGACACACTTTCACTGAATCACTCAAAGTGGCTGAATAGAAACAACACGTAGATGTAAGTGGAAACTATAAGCCAATACACGTTAGCCCAGCTCAGCAAAATTTCATTATCTAACATGGAGGACAGTTTTAAAAATGTTCTTGCCATGTTTTCAAATTGACAAATAAAAGTCTCCAAATGTAATTCAGTATGAGCTATTTATGGAAGATATCACGGCGACTAAAAAGAGTTTTAAAATTAGTACAAATCTTGAATAAGCACAGGAGGCTAACACAACTTACGTTTGAAACACGACTGTTTGCTTTTTTGTCATTTCGAGAAAATGGATGGGAAGATCGGAATGTTATACATTATCGTGATGTAGTGAAATAAACTACCTGTCGCTCAAGAAAACATCACTCACCAAAATCTTCAAATCGTGAGATTTAACATATTCAGCTTGAAGGACGACAACACACAACAACATCCAACAAAAATACGTATTTTGAATGGTAAGTGTACATAGAGACGTACTTATATGGAATTTTCGATAATGCCATACATAACCTTTAAATTATAAAAAAAGTACGTGAACACAGAGCTCGACTGGGCCCTCTAGGAAATAGAAAAGTTGTAATTATCCGAAGTGTCTGTTCAAAGAAACATGACAGGGTTCGTACACTTTTGACCTGTTAAAATTCCATGACTTTCCATGACTTTTCCAAGACCTGTTTGCAAACATTCCTCACAATGCGTGCTTCTGTTTATTTCTAATGAAATTAAATCTGATTTTTGGACTCGTCAGTTAACTTTTCAACTTAGGGTCTTATTGCCTTTCACTCGTAGAGAGCGTATTAATTTTCCATGACTTTCCATGACCCACACCTAAATTTCATGACTTTCCAGGCCTGGAAAATGAAATTTTGAAATTCCATGACTTTCCAGGTTTTCCATGACCTGTACGAACCCTGCATGAGTGTAATTTTCAGTTAATGTTACAAACCTTCGTCGAGGAAGTCTTCCTCCATATCATCTATGTCTGTAAGGACAACCTTTCCACCCTCCTCGTCAATGGACGGCAGCAAATTTCTCCTCTTCTTTGCCAACACCTGTTCCAGTTTCTTGCCCAGTGCCACACCCCATTCACGGAACAGGACACCAGCTTCGTTCATGGCAACGAGGTTGCGACGCTGGGCGAACATGAATGGCGTGGGAGAAGATGACGAGACTCCACCTCGACGATGAGCGAGAGAAGGAAGACTGCCTCGTAACCACTGAGGCCATTCACCTTGGTTGCATTTGTGAACGAGGATGCAACACTCCAGCAGAAGACACGCTCTGGCCACCGCTGGTGCTTCCTAAAGAGTAGTCGTTAATAACTCTTACAAATTGCAATAGTTTTATGAATGGCTTCCACTGATGATCTTACCATGCCAATATTTTGTTTGAAAACAAAACTTTTGATCATGTCTCAAATTCACTTTACAGCTGCTTTTACGACAGAGATCAAACCTGGAGGGCTATTTTTACGATGACAGGCTCGGATTTTGGAAAGTCAGGAACCAATAATTAATTTCCTTTGGGACGGGGGGAAGGGGTTTCATAGGGAGAACAGAGAAAGGATCAGTCGTCGCGAATACAATATAAACGGGGGGGGGGACTTACAGAAAAATGACTACCAAGTAACTGCCAACGAGGGGGCAATCACTAGAATAATACAGAACCTTAAAGGGAAGATCAGGTAACTTTTTTCGTGACATAACCAAACTCTTTAAACCCGACCCCCATCCCCCCACCTCTAGGGAAGAAGTGATGACGAGTCCTTTAATGAGTTCAATAGTCGTTCCTAATGCTGTACCCTCTAAGTACATCACTAATCCTGAACTTACCAAGTCCAGCATGGAAGCCAAAATCTTTGGATCTGGTATGGAACCCGGCTGCCCGCCATGAAGAAGAAACCTAAATCTGACCATCCCAGACCTGAGTGCTTCCACATCCACAGGTTTGGTTTCAAACTCATGTAAAACTATATCAATGGGCAGAGTAGATTCACTCAACAAGGGTGGCGTCGGGTCTCCTTTCTTTGCTATTGGAAAGATATCCTCTATTTTCTTTCTACTGGGAGTCTTTGACTTGAGGAGCTTGCGTTTTGAGCTTGATTGCTGTTCTGATTGAGGGTCTGGTGCGTCCAGCAAGTCTTCATCACTGTCATATTGGGTGCCAACTGCTTTTTGCTTCCGGGTCCAGGTGAATATCTACATATTGAAAGTAAGATGCGTGTAGTTACGGCGCCTCACCTTCGTTTATAAATTCACGCCTTTTGTACATTGTTTTCCGTTATCAGTTGTTCCGTGTATATTTGTTATTTTATTAGGTTCGCCAGTCATTTTTGGTCACGTCACATTTCATATTTTCGTGTTCATTTTTTATGCATTGTTTCTTTTGTTTGGTATGGCTTCTTCTCCCGTAGTTTTCTTGTCGCCGTTGTCATTATGTTTTAGTCGTCGTAGTCGCCACGTAATCTTGTAAGTTTCGTTATTTTGTCCGTCATTTAGCCTGTCTTATTTGTATTTCGTTTTGGTTTCCTGTTATTTGTGGATTTCGACTACAATGCGTTTTCATCGTGAACCGACCGAGAGAAACAAAAAATTTCTGAGTCCCTAAGAGTATTCGAACATCAAAACCCAGGACTCCGCGCTTCAACTCTATTCTTCTCTGCTACAGATAACTCTTATGTCAGCTTGGCTGTTTTTAGGTTCATATGTGTAATGCGTTTTGCGACATGCGTTCTACACCCTGCTTGGATCAGCAATGTCGAAAACGTCATGTGTGTAAAAGACATGTAAAATAAGCAATATGGCAAATCCTGGGCTCAAAAAGATAGTAGAAAAAGGATACAGTACTAGTCTCTTGTCACGAGATAGGGAAAAAGAAAAAAAAAAGTACAACATCCTTTGTTACTCTAGCTGTGTTAATGATACGTAGTTTCCCTTCAAAATCCACGACATACCATGCAACGCTGTTTTTTTTTTTTTTCCAGATTTGTTTTGCAGATTAGCGAGTTTTCGTGTTTGCTGCAGGAAAGACATACTTGCGGATGAAAATGAGTGACAGTTTTGTTGGGAACTTATTTCCATCAGTTCAGTAAGTGGTCGTAAGGAAATCTTTCCGTAAGCATTCTTATTTTCTTTTCAAAGTTGAGAATTTAACTATGGGTGGTCCTAGCACCGTTCTTTTTCTCCAATTATACACACAAACCCACCTTTCTTTTACTTCTCGGTGACAACGCTGTCTCTATAGGACTTGTTTCCATACCAGAAGAAAACTTTAGACTTCGTGTTAGGCTGCCACTGCTATCAGAACTCTCTGTTGTGATCCGAGCGAGCTTCTTTAAAAATGTGCGCTTGGTTTTGTACGTGGGAGTTCTTTCAACTTTCATCCTAACAACTGATGTTTTCCGGACAGTCGACACACTTTTAGTGTGTGATTCTAGCCCAGGAGTCTTGCCTGCATCTGGTTGGTCTTTCGACTCTTTATAAGCCGAGTCCCTCAGTCCACTCAAGGCAACTTTCCAGAATATGCTTCCATAAGACTCTTTTACAAACCTCAGAAGCTGCCGGAGTTCGCCATAAAAAGTCTAAAAGAAAATAAGGATGCATATTACAGTACATGAAAAGTGTGAGTTTGGGAGTTAAGTACTTCACTACTGCTACTGCTAAAGATACTGCCTCTGCTACTGCCACTACTACAGATATTGCCACTGCTACTACCACTTCTACCGACACTGCTACTACCACTACCGCTGCTGCTGTCACAACTTGTATTGTATATAAAAAGTGTGACTATGGGGGCCGAGTACTTCACTGATGCTACTGCTACTACTACTACTACCGATACTGCAACTGCCACTGCTACTGCTACTGCTGCTGCTGCGCTGCTACTGCTACTGCTACT